TCCAGGGAGCTGCTGGAGGCCGCCGACACCTCCCTCCAAAGGCTGAAGGTCTGACAGGGGCCCGGCGGGGAGCGGGATGGGCGGGATGGGGACGGGACATGGGTGGGGTGATGGGGTGGTACCCAGGGAGGTGGTGATGGGGCAGTGGTGGTGCCCAGGAGGGCAGTGATGGGTTGGTGACAGTATCCAGGAGGGCAGCAATGGGATAGTGATGGTATCCAGACGGGCAGTGATGGGTCAGTGAAGGTACCCAGGAGTGCAGTGATGGGGCACTGGTGGTGCCCAGGACAGTGATGGGGCAGGGGTGGTGCCCAGGAGGGCAGTGATGGGTCAGTGGTGGTACCCAGGACAGTGATGGGTTGGTGAAGATGCCCAGGAGGGCAGTTTAGGGCAGTGGTGGTACCCAGGAAGGCAGTTTGGGGCAGTGGTGATACCCAGAAGGACAGTGATGGACTATGCTGGTGCCCAGGCAGGAGAAGGTGCCCAGCTGGGCAGTGAGGGGCTGCTGAGGGTCCCCAGGAGGGTGGATATTCCCTGTAGCCTCCCTTTAGGACCCTCTTGTTTCACACTTGCCCTGCTCAGCCCTTCAGGGTGGGGGTTTGCTCAGCAGCCTTTCCTTTTTGCTACAATTCCCTGCTATCTTTGCAGTCTCCACCTCAGGGAACCCCAAAAACCCCAAGCACTAAATGGGGGCTGTTCCCCACCCTGTTACACATCTGTGAGGATGGTGTTGGCTATTTTTCACTTTCCAAGAGATCCTTTACCTTTGAAACTAAAATGACATAAAGTTCTCCATGGATTCAACTGAGAGAATAATTTAAAGCAGAAGAGGCAGAGCAATTCCCAACAACACATAAACCAAAGCTGTGCAAAGCTCTGAGCTTATTCCCAGTCTATTTTCTACCTTTCATATTTAACCAGAGTCCTCACACAGCCTCATCCCTAGGATTCAGCTAAGCTGGGATCCATCCCATATTTTTGCATTTACATATATATATATATATGTAAATTTATATTTTTATACATATATACATAAATATACATATATATATATATACACTATACTATGAAACGGAGTCAATGACCCTTTTCTTATTCCCTTTTTCACACAGGAACTCGACACCCTGGGATTTGAATGTACCCTTGAAGAGGTTGATCCTGAAGATATCACTAAGAACCAAACAAACACAATAAAAGCTTGCACATCTGAAGGTCTAGAGGTAAAATACATAAATATATATATATAAAATTAAAGTTTCAGCCTATATTTTCATGGCACAGGCACATAACTCACACTCATTTCTGCTTTAATTTGCAGACTGGGAACTGTCCAGCACTGGAAGGATCAACTTTTGATAAGGTAAATTGCATATTTCCCATAAGAATCCCTTTTTTTTTTCTGCTCACTGTGGATTTAACAGCAGATTCCCACATTTCCTGATCGTTCTGCCTTTCCCAGAGGAAATGCCTGCAGGGCATCTATGAGGATCTGAGTGCCTACAGGGCAGAGCTCAACAACTTCCACGATCACCAAGTGCTGGCAAGTCTCGATGAGATGATGAAAGTGAGTATTTTCTGCCTCCTCCCTCTCCTCAGAGACCTCAAAAATCGAGTAAATACAGAATAAACCTCAAAAATAGAGCAAATACAGAATAAAAGGGACCCAGCACTATTTATCTCCCAAATACTGGGATATAACACACCCAGGGGACTGAATATGGATGGACTGAACTGTGATAAATATTAGTGAGTAGAGGGAATAGATGTTAAAAGCTTGTTGGTTTAATAAAAGCTAATTAAAAAACCTTAATTAATTGCCTTTGTGTTGGCACAGCATCTCCCAGTATAGCCTGGGGAGATAAGTCCAGTCTAAAGGCTCTCTGGATAAACCTGGCCATGGGCTTGTTATTAAAACCAATCCTTATTCCTGGGCAGAAAGAGCCTCTGAAGGGACAATTTTGTCTTAAGGCAAGTCCAGCTGCCCATCCTCAGTCTATTAATTGTATCATTATTTCCAATTTTATCCTAAGTCTGCTAATAATATCATTAAATATTTCAAAACTCATCCTATTAGTTACATTATTTCAAATTTTGTCATATGTCTAGTAATCATATCATTAAACACCCCAAAATTTACCCTCTTAATTATAACATTAAATATTTCAAATTTTATCTTGTCTAGTAATGGTACCATTAAATATTTCAAAATTTGTCCTATTCTAACATTAAATAGTTCAAATTTTTCCTATTAATTACATTCAATATTTCAAATGTTATCCTATTAATACCATTGAATATTTAAAAAATTACCCTCTTAATTATAACCTTAAATATTCCAAATTTTATCCTGTCTAGTAATGGTATCATTAAATATCTCAAAATTTGCCCTATTGATTATAACATTAAATATTTCAACTTTTATCCTGTCTAGTAATGGTATCATCAAATATCTCAATATTTACCCTACTAATTATAACCTTGAATATTTAAAATTTTATCCTGTCTAGTAATGGTATCATTAAATATCTCAAAATTTGCCCTATTGATTATAACATTAAATATTTCAACTTTTATCTTACGTTTTGTAATCTCATTCGATATTTCAAAATTTGTCCCATTCTAACATGAAGTAGTTCAAATTTTTCCTATTAATTACATTCAATACTTGAAATTTGATCCTATGAATATTTCAAAAATTACCCTCTTAATCATACCATTAAATACCTCGACTTTTACCCTCAGCCTATTAATAACTAAATATTAATTATTATCAATTAAATAATTCCAATTCCATCCTCGGCCTACCAATGACACAATTAAATATATTAATTAAATAATTAAATAATTCCAATTCCATCCTCGGCCTACCAATGACACCGTTAAATATATTAATTAAATAATTAAATAATTCCAATTCCATCCTCGGCCTACCAATGACACCATTAAATATATTAATTAAATAATTAAATAATTCCAATTCCATCCTTGGCCTACCAATGACACAATTAAATATATTAATTAAATAATTAAATAATTCCAATTCCATCCTCGCCTTCCAATGACACAGTTAAATATTCCCAGTGTTTCACTTATACAAACACACTCTTATTCCCAAACCTTACCCTTTATCCATGGTGGGTAAAAAAGCCCCGTGGAGTTTTTGGGATGGGTGGGATGGTTGTAACTCCTGTCCCTGTGCCAGGCCCTGAAGAGCAGCCGGAAGGTTGCGGAGCCGCGGGCAGGAGCGGGCCCGGAGTCGTTCCCGGAGAGGCTGCGGCTGTGCCGGGTGCTCCAGGCCCTCCGGATCCGCTCCCTCACCATCTCCAGGATGATGAACTTCCTGAGCTCCCCGGAGAGCTCCCTGTGAGCGCCCTCGGCAGATCCACCCAACCTGGGGATTCCTCGGAGAGAAAAAAAAACCAGCGGGATCGACGCCCTGCCACGAGCTCGGGAGGGGGCTTAAAAGGAATTTTTAATAGTCACAGTTTCCACAAAGCATTTTTTTTTAGGGAGCTGTGCCAGTGCCTTTGGGACTGTCAGGTTAAACTTCTACATTTCTAGGAAATAAGCTAGATTTTAGCACCAACTCTAATTTATCATGTTTTATTTATTCAGCTTATTTTTCCCCAGTTGAGACCTATTTATAATAATCCATTTCCTTGTGGGTCCCTTCCAACTCAGGATATCCTATTCCATGATTTATTTATGATATATTATATTCCTTATTTATTCTATTTATTGCCTAATAAAATTAAAGTTGGCTTAAAAATCGTAGTGACTTCTTTGTTGTTCCTGGAGATACAACAAGAATACTTTTAAAATACTTGGAATACTGCTGGCATGTAAAGGTAACTGGGATATTTTAAAATCCTGTTTCCATCTTGGATTGGGTTGAATGGGGCTTGGAGCAACCTGGGCTAGTGGAAGGTGTGGAATGAGATGCTGCAGCAGCAGAAGCATCAAGGCTTGGAGAGATGGCAACAACCTCACAACGCTTCATCCAGCAGCCAAAATCAAAAAATAAATCCAAAATCATATGTAAATAGTGTCAATGGTTCCCCTTTAATCCTTATTTTTTTTTAAGTTTGCTTTTTTCTTTCATGAACACACTCAGAGGAAGGTGATCCCAAGCATCCCATGTCCTTAAAAATCAGACAATCCCGGATCAGGTCACCGCTCTCATTCTGCAAATCACGTTATTCCCAAATCTTTTCCAATTCTGTAGCACGTGGGGGGCCTTTCCAGGGATTCTGGTTCCTCCCATGGTAGTTTAAGCACCTAATTCGAGTTAAAACAAATCAAGTAAAAAGTAGAAAAAGTTTCTCATATAAAAAACAAATTATACAACGTAAAAAAAAAACAAACCTGTCTCATAAAAATACAGACTATACAGAGAAGAGTAGCAAAGAAATTCCCAGGGAAAATTCCAAGCTGCCTGGAGTACATAGTGGTGCTTCTGTGAAATCAGTCTTTGGGGTTTTTAGAGAAGAGAACCACAGCTTAACAAGGACTGAATGTACAGGAGTATATACAGGAATTATATATACACAGTGATTATGCAAAGGAATTTGTCTGCAAGTTTAGGATTATCCTTCCCTGATTTTGGACATCCATGAGAAATCCAATGTACCTCCCGCTTCGGGCACTTCAGTAGGGGTTTTTGAGGGGATGACAGTTCCTGTGTAACTTTTCTCCCTGTTTTTCCCTGATGTAAATGAAAATCTTTTCCAGGTAGCTATCCTGGAGCGAACAATTCAACCTGGTTTCCTCCAGTGTTCCCATCTTTTAGGAGAGGCTCAAAGGAGGTGGCAGTGGTGGCATTCCCTGCGGGTGAAGCCCGGAGATATCGGGATCCACAGCTCCTGGAAGTCTTGGAAGTGGCTTATATCCAAAATTTCATTCACATTCCTTGAGAAGATCCAGCCCAACCTTTCCTCTGAGTGCTGATGCTTTGCATCCTCCTTCCTGAATCCCAGCGAGATCCCAGAGGAGTGGAATGGTTGGATGGGGCAGCTCCCACTGCAGGTCCTTCCAGCTCAGCACTGAGCTGAGAAACCTGAGGGAAGGAAAACACACAAACACAGGTGGGTTATCTGAGCCCTGGAAGTCACTGCAGTATTCCAGGTGAATTAAAACTGCATTACAAAATATTCCAGATGAATAATAAATGTATTAAAACCCCCCAAGGCAGCACAAGGCTGGGGCACAGACAGGTTTGGGAGGGACAGCTCTCCACCCTTTACAGCCAGCTTGGTTTTAAGGAGAATTAGGCATGGAATCAGGATGGGAAAGACCTCTAAGACATCAAGGCCAACCAGCACTGCCAAGGCCACCACCAACCCATGTCCCCAAGTGCCACATCCACAGGGCTTTTAAATCCCTCCAGGGATGGGGACTTGACCCTGTCCCAGGGCTTCACAACCATTTCCATGAAGAAATTTTTCTTAATATCCAACCAAAGCCTCCCCTGGCACAACCTGAGGCCATTTTCTCCTGTCCTAGTTAAGGAATTAAAAAAGAACAAGGTTTTGGTGTTGTAAAAAACCCCAACATTTAGTTTTTGAGGACAATTCCCCTCGGCTGGTTCATGGAATCATGGAATGGTCTGGGTTGGAAGGGACCTTAAAGGTCAGCAAATTCCAACCCCCTGCCAGGGGCAGGGACAGTTCTCAGAACCTCTTAAGTCATCACTCAGGGAAAGGTGTTAATTAAAATACATAAAAACAGAAGAATACATAAGAACAAATAAAAATACATAAGAATAAAGACTCAAACATCTCCTCTTGGGACTTCCAGAGAAGACCAAGAATTGGTTTGGGTGTATAACACTGACCTGCTTGGCCAGGACAGCCAGGTCATGCTGAGAGTGCTCTCAACACAGTCAGTGCAGAAATATTCTTCATTTTATAAGAGATTGTAATTTCTTTTTCATTTTTTATTTATTTTGATTTTTGAAGGGAACGATAAAAACGTCACGAAAAAGAAAATCACTCTGATAAAGGGAGACAATTTTGACCTACACAGTCAACCACGCACCAGGGATTTGGTGAATTCTCTGATGGAAGTTCTTCAAACACAGCTGAGATGGGATTCAACAAACAGGGATGGGATTCAACAAACCCAGAGGGAGATACCTTGCAGCATTAGCTCCAGCTCATAGGATCCTTTGTCACCCAGACTCCTCTGCAGAGCTTCTGCAGTGCCATTGCTTTGTTGTCTGTCCCTCCACTTCCTCAGCACCAGGAATTTTTGCATGTTGACTTCGTCCTCCATGCCCTGGATCTCCTCGATGTCCTTCATCTCCATCTCGAGGCACTCGATGGCGATTTCCTTCCACTGCCGCCCCAACTGCTTCGCGACCACCATCAGCTGCTGGTCCGTCAGGATTTTTGTTCCAATTCCATCTGAAAAGGCATGGACATTCTTCCTAATATCCAACCTAAACCTTCCCTGGCACAACTTTCCTCTCCTCCTGTCCCTTGTTCCCTGGGAGCAGAGTCCGACTCCCCCCCGGCTCCCCCCTCCTGTCAGGGGGTTGCAGAGCCAGAAGGTCCCCCCTGAGTCTCC